ACTTAAGAAGCAAGGTTTTCTTCTGTGATAACACTATTATATAGTCTAGAAAGTCTTGAAGCAGCAAAGGTAAGATGCTGGTAGTCTGAATTTTATATCCAGGATTGTTTGCTAACAACACAGATTTATCATTCTTTAATTAAAGCAACTTTACATTGTATTAAGAAGGTAGTCTCCAACACAAATTGGACAGCTTCAGTTAACTGGGAAAGATGTTGATTGATCTGTTCTGTGATAAAATAAATGCATTTTCTGCATTTATAAAAACAATCAAACTACAACTTTTTGTTTCCTCCTTTTAAAGATTTTACTAAGAATTATGGAAATTCTGGAGATTATAAGTGTTGTAGTAGACCTATATTTTTTTTATAAGTCATTTTGCTAGATATTCATTGCAGATGCAAACTCCTGCCAATATTTGTAAAAACATGAAATCCAAAGATGAAGCCTGAAGAAGTTTTAGCTTTGTTTAATATTGCATTAGAGATTGTGCGCTACTGATTGACAGAAGAAGGTGCTTCACTTGGGTATGAGGGCCATGACATACTGCCTGTTTGATTAGTTTATTCTATTTAGTGGCCTTTTGAATGTTTAGAGAGGACTGATAAAACAACTGTTACTAAGGTTCTGAACTCCTAAATGTAGAACTGTACATACAGGTAAGCCAGTACTACAGTTTGAAAATGGACCCTAATGGCTATTACCTGCTAGTTAAAAACTACTAATTATGTTAATAATGGAACAATTAATGTGGCTAGCTTAAAAACTTACAATGCCAAAATATTTTTGTGATACATCGTCACAACTTCAGCATACCTTGTGTTACTGAAAAGTGATGCTTCATACTGATATCTTAGAGATGATAAATGTTGTGCGTTGGTTTTTGTTGGGAGCATTTAAATATTTCAATATACCCTATTATATGAAGTAGCATAATTGATTTTTGAACATTCTTGTTAAAGAGTTTGTCTGTAAAAAAGACCAGGTATTAATATACCAGAATGTGCCTAAATGTAAAGGCACTTTAATTTAAAAGCTATAAACTGCTCTTAAATGCCCCTTTGATGTTTTTGGTAATATTTTGATCTGTATCATTCATTAATTTTGTCCTTATTTCTGATAGTCATCTTTAGGTTACATTTCAAGTAAAAGTGAAGGATAATTGCTGTGAAATCAACATGCAAATACATAGTTATAGTCAATACAGTAGAAGTATTACAGTGGAATTCCCAAGATTACCATTTTAAGCAGGAAAATTCATGTATTTTGTATTAAGCCAACTGTATTAAGCATCACTTTTAACTGAGAATGGTTAGCATATGGTTCACATTTCGTATGTCACAAAGTCTTTGTGGCAGCAGTTAATTGTAGTAGCAGGTCCTGCATTGCTCTCACAGGTTTCTGTTCTCAAAGTAGAGATATTTTTGTATAGTAAGCTGCAATGAATTGGGATACTAGGTTCCCCCAAACACTTCTGGTTTGTGTTCACTAAATATAAAAATGGGGAATGCCTTGTGTTTGGGCAGTAGTGCTTCATAAAAAAACTCATGCTTATCTTACTTGTTGGAGTACATGACTTGAGACTGAGCTGCAGTGCAGAAATTAACATTACAACAAAAATGATTTGGAAAGCAAAATGTAGAAAATAGTCGCATGGAATATCATGATTTCCTATTAGGTGTAGACTTTTTTCAGTATTCCCTAAATACCATTTAATTTCTTTAAGATGGTAGACTAACTTAAATTGCTTTGAAATGTGAATAGCTTTGTTTAGTTTTTGTTTGTTTTCACCTTTTATAAGAGAGTGCTTTCATGTGGAGCGCTGTCTGAGTTTTTAATATATTGTGATTTCTTCACTTTTTCTAGTGAACACAAGTTAGTGGAATGGGAGTAGAGAGAAGTATTAATAATAAATACACTTATGTCAGTTTTTAATTTTAGGATTATATGTATCGGAGTATTAACTGCACATACACTAACACAGGTACAATAACCCAAAGTTAGTTCACTTTAGTTTTGGTGGAGTGAGAGGGAGTTTGCTGCTGTATATTATGGCAGCAGAATATGAATTCATAACAGAATTAGAATTTGGATTAGAGAAGTGCACTTGCTATTTTAGAGCAGCTTGTTTTTTTTTCTTACATATGGATAAAAATACAACAAAAACCTTACTCTTAGAATGTAGCAGTACACAAGAGGGTAAACACTGCAAAACTGATAAGGTTTAAGCATGTGCTACTATCCTTTTGTTGGGAAGAGCAGGGTATAAAAGGTATACATGTAGGACATGTAGAATAGTTAACAGTAAAGATTTTATATGTATGTTTTCACTTCCATGATATTTATTATTCTGTAGAGACATTTGTGAATGTTAGACTTCTCTTATCATTTTATTATATTTATGTATAAAACAGGTTGACTATGCTTTTTAAAATAAATAAGCAAAAAAAGTCTTTATGAATGCCTCTGTCATCTTTTGAAAAGGAAGTTACTCTTTAAACACCTGTTGTGCTTTGTTTTTTGTTTTTAAATCTTCAGGCCAAACAAGTTAAAGGAGGCTCCAGCTACATTTTAAGATCTAAATAAGATTTAGTAAATTTAAAAGGGTTCTGGCAAATTAAGATCGGTGAAATATATTAATTGTATTGGCAAGTGTTAGACAAGTGATGGCTGATGAAGTAAATGTATTCAGAAGATATTGTCCCTTTTTGATAAGGCCTGTTGAGTGCTTTTCCTTTTTCAATAGTTGTGTTTTCCACTTCCATTGTTATTACTACCATCTTAGCTTGAAAAACACTACCTCTTTCTATTTGGCAACTTTTTCTCTTTATGGAACAAGTCCTGTTAAAAGTCTCTTTCCTCAATTCAGAAACAGACAGACTGTAAAAAAAAATCCAGCACTTACAGATATAAGACCAACAAGTGATATCAATTCAAACTCATTTCTCACTAATTAAAGTGTGCATTAAACTGCAGCTGGTCATAGTGGACACAACAACTTAGTGCGTCCTTGATAAAGTAGTTTTGATGACTTATTACTGCTTTTCATCAAGGTTAAAATTAGTGTTTGGTCACAAACTTGTAACACAGTCCTGGTAATCTCCCAGGATTCAACCCCCTAGAATTGCTCTCTGGCTTTCAAATAGATCTGATGGATACAACCAGGCACTTCCTTTCTCACCTCATCTTAAGTGTAAAATTGTAGTTATAGGTATGTATAAGTGTTCTCCATAGCAACTACAACTATAACTTTGCTTATAGGATGTGGAAAAAAGAAACAAAGAGCCTGATTAACGCAGAATGCATCTAACTTGTCAGACAAATACTTCAGAATTTAAAGCTATACAAATTGTGTGTGAAGTTCTTTTTGACAATTTAGTGTTAAGCTGCCATGCACATGAATTAAGTATAAATTTTGCATTTTTAAAGGATATTTGTTTCTCCGTACATATGGAATCTTACGAATTTGAAGACAGATACTATCTTTCATTCCTTCAACACTTGAATGATTTTTTTCTTAAAATATCATCAATGATCTATTGCATTTATTTACATTCACTATTAAATGAAAAGTTAGCTGATAGTTTATAGAAGAAAACTTGCCTACGCTCTTGTTCTGCTTAGTTAGTTGCAAAATGATTTTACATTATAGCTTATGGCACATCCGCTTTAAAACTAGTGTTATGCCTCTAAGATTTTAAAATAACCACTTTATGTTTTAAGATTTCCTTCAATCACATCAAACAGAAAGCTCATTTATTTGCAAGAGTTAAGAAGATGCATTAAATTTCCTGTTAAATCCATTAAAAGTTCTTCTGGCAACAATTTATAGCCCTCTTCTACCCTTCCAGCCAAAGGTCATTCCAAATGCTATATGTGGAATTTGTCTGAAGGGTAAGGAGTCCAACAAGAAAGGAAAGACTGAAGCACTTATTCACTGCTCCCAATGCAACAATAGTGGTAAGTATCTATGTATGCTACAATGGGATATTAAGGGGTTTTACTTGACAAATTTTAGTAGAAATATTTTATGTACTGTATTTGCATACAAACAATTGTCACCTTAAGAGTGATTTTCCTTAGCTTCCTTCAAATTATACTTAATACAGTATACTAGCACATATTGCATTTGAGTCTCTTAGGTGAGCTAACTTAATGTTATGAAGCAGCTAATACAGTAGATTATACTAATTATTTTAGAATTGTATAAAAATACTAGTAATAATATTGATTTTAATCTAGGCCACCCTTCTTGCCTTGATATGACTCCGGAGCTTGTTGCCATGATTAAGACTTACCCTTGGCAATGTATGGAGTGTAAAACATGCATTATATGTGGACAGCCTCATCATGAAGAAGAAATGATGTTCTGTGATGTATGTGACCGCGGTTATCACACCTTTTGCGTGGGTCTTGGTGCTATTCCTTCAGGTAATGAAGAAAAACTAGTCTCTCTCCTTAAGTGCTGGGGCTTCCCTCTAAGGGTTGGGGGGGGGGGGTAGAGTAGATTAAAATGAGCATTATGTCAATGCCTAGTGTAATAGACATTCACTCCAAAGACACAACAGGTTTTTGGGGGGGGGGGTTCTTTTCTATTTTTAAAAATTATTTATATATGTAATCTACATGAAACTTAGAAATTAACCTCAAGAAACAGAGGCAGAAGCATGTTGTTTACCTTAAAAGTATCTTTGCTTGGGCCTAATTTGCATACTTGCAGAGCAGCTTTTCACAACTGAACTTTTCCAGCCAGGAGACCCACAACATCCTTCAGCTGTCCTGACCAATATGAAGTTTTGCTTCTACCTGGGAGAAATTTTACAATCGTTGACTTTTCCTTTGCCTGAAGAAAGGTGTTTGAGCCCAAAAGCTTGCAAGTAACAATAAAAAAAAATTGCAACTATCTAGTTGGTTTAAAAAAAGATATCACCTCTTTCTCAAGAGTTTTGGATGCCTTTGCCTCCAGACCAACATGGCTACAACCTATATACTCAAGAAACAGTATTTCTAGTTTCAGAATTTTATAAGAAATAAAACTGCTTCTCTCAGGGCTACACTTTTTTCAGGATATTGAAAATAGCTATTTCTTAAAAGAAAAAAAAAGCCCATGTGAACTGTGTTGCTGCATATTGCTGGAGCACCTTTAGCACTGTTTCAAAAGTTTAATAGGAACATAAATACTTTATTAAAAAGTGAAAGGAAAAAAAGGTTTGCACAGTTCGTTTAATGCATATGAATACTATGACTTCCTCCACTCCCCCTAGCTTTTTTTAACATCACGTTATGGAGCTGAGACAAGATGTGTGCCATATAGTGCATGCAGTAATTCACACCTCCTTTAAATGAGTACAAAAAATAATGCCATTTCTGTTAGGTAGTATTTCACCCATTTTATGCATATGGTGACATAACACAAGACAGTGGTGAAATCGCAGCTAAAGAACTAAGCAATTGGAAGTACTCTCAGAATCTAATACTAAATACACAATCTAATACTAAATAAATGATGCCAAATTTTAAGTTCATTAATACAGTTAGCAGCTTGAAGTCCTGCAGTGTTGGCCCTCCTTGTATCTACAGTACTTTGAATCCTAAAAATGTCTTCTTGCAGTTAATTGATTACCAGCTACTTTTTAATGCTGTTGTATACTTCCAGACACCTTATGTGAGTAATTTAACTTCAAACTTGTCCCACAGCAGCGCTGTATGTTACACATACTAAACACAGTGCGTAAGTACCTGATACTGCTCTATAGCTACTAAGACGGTTATGCTGTGATTAAACACCACTTGTCTTATTTGTGAAGAAAGTAAAATGAAGTGTTTTATGCATGTTATTGTCTGCCCCGGAATCACCCTCTAGTAGTGGAGCTTCTACTGGCCTTTACATGAATTAACATATTAATACTTTGATTGCTTAAGAGACTCTCTTTAAAAGAAAAAGGTTAACTGGTTTTTATTTTGAATGGAACCAGAAGAGTGCAAAAAGTATTCAAGCACCTTGTAACAGTGAATAGGTGTCATAGGAGCCATAAAACATTTTCTACTATAACTAATGACAACTTTGCTTTCTTAGGTCGCTGGATTTGTGACTGTTGTCAAAAAGACACCCCAGTACCCAGGAGAGGAGGAAGAAGGGGGAAAAACAGCAAAGAGGGATAAAAAAAAAATCTGCCTTCCAATACTCTTAACGGTATACAATAAAGCAATACATTTGGTGCTATTTAACCAGCCACTCTGTAAAAGGAACAATACCACTTTTTAAAAATGAAATAAAAGTTTAATTTTGACTATATAACAATTTTTTCTTTAATAGTAAGGTTATTGGCAATGTTCTGTCATAGCTGTTTAAAAGGAAACCTCATATTTCCATTGAAAACAGAAAACTTTCAAGGAAAGTCTGAGTAATTGCATAATCTACTGTATAAACAAGCTTATAGCAACACTTAACAGATTCTGAAGATGTTCTGAATAGCAGTAACTTCTACCTAAAGAGAACGCTATACAGCACTTAAGCTATCTGTACAGTAATCAATTTTATTCCAATAAAGCAAAACAAGACTTAAAAGATCAAAAAAGACCATTCAGATAAAAAATACTATTTAGATTACTGTTTGATATTCAATTGTCCTCTAACTAAAAAAAACACCAAAACATGATTTCAAAGTTAAGACTATCTTGAAGTCTTTTAGTGCATTGTAGGAAAAAGCCAGTCTGCTTTAGGAGCATTAAGTCCCAGCTGGAAAACAGTTATTCACTCCCCCAGGAGTCGGTGAATGGTTAAGCCAGAGATGTACTAATGACCATATAGAGTGAGACTATGGAAGTGGCAATACGTTCATGGTTAGTAAACACTCCTGAAAGGGTTCCTCTCCGTGTAGACCCCTTTCCAAGCTTATGCTACAAATACAGGCTCAATTGTTTTTAGATGAACAATGCCAATGCCATTTACATACAACATAGAAAAACAGCTGAAGTGCTGCTTCCATCATACTTCTTCCCTGGAATATAAAAGTCAAGCTCCCTACACTAGAGGAAGGAAAGGGTGAACATGAACTTTATTCAGGTCAGGATTCTCCAAAGCAGTTAATGATTTTAGGATCCTTAGTTTAAATACTCATTGTGATGCTGATGCTGTGAAGCAGTCTGCTGAAGTGGTAATCAAATCACCTGCCACCTGAAAAAGTCAGACTCTTCAAAAGCTGGTTCAGATTGGGCACCCCAAAAAACTCTAGTCACTTCTGAAAATCTTGATCTGCTACTTCACCTGGTTTGTTACACTCCTTCCAAGTTCCAACTTTTAAAGTGCCATTGCTCAAAGATTTGTTCACAGTGCAGACAGATTGGAAAATTAGTTCTTTATTTTAAATTGGGAGGGGATGTTAGAACTGCAGCTTCTCAGATTTTACAACTTTTCTTCATATAAAATAGTAATTTTAATAGAAAATACATTGAATTATCAAAATCCATATTTTTCTTAAGCACCTATTCAAAGTAATGGAGAATTTTTATGAAGTGCCCTTTGTACATTCATTGTTCAACCCTGATCTATAAAGAAAACTATGAATACTGTGCTTGCTGTTCATTTTATGTATAGTAGGATTTACAATAGAAAGCTAGATATGGCTTTTCTTTTCCCCTCTCCAGCATAGAAAAGTTAACCCAAATACCTCTTCAGGAAACTTTACAAAAAAAAGTACCAATGCTCACAGCAAATTATTCATGTTCAATTTCACAGGTTGTAAGTGCACTAGTCCAGTGTGTATGTCCAGTTGGTTATTTTAAAAAAGAATTTCAAGTATTAGCTTCAAGATTCCAATAAATATAGTCCAAAAAACAGATTCTTCATCCTGAGTTTCATCTTCTGCTGAATGCGACTGTTTCTGGCTTGCCTCCGTCTCCTCTGGGTTGTAGGAACCCTCACCAAATGGATATTGTACAACTGTTCGATCATAATATACTTTCATTTCAAACTCACTCTCCTGATGAGAGGGATGACCATAAATTCCTATTCCCACTGGGCGACGGAAGTGTGCTGGTATGTGAACAACATCTTGGCCACAAGTTACAGATTGTAACTCATACTCATCAAAGCTGGGGTGAAGAGTCATGTCAGATACATACAAATCTGCATCACCTTTTAAGCTCTGCATCTGAAGCACTATCTTCCCCTCGTGATTTAGTCTCAAGTAACTGTAATTTCCAGCTCCAATCTGACCTTGAACGACATGAAGAAGAATCCATTCTGCAGGAACATCTTCATCCTCAAAACTATTTACCATAAGCAATGCCTGAGCTGCTAGAAGCATCACCAGCATTCTCATCCAATGTGCTGCCATAACTCCAAAGTTTGACATTAAACAAATTCTCACATCATGTGTAAATATCCTGTTAACACAAAACATAGTAATTCAGGTTCAGGATGTTCTAATTGTAGAAAAAGATCAGACCATTTTCCTGAAAAATAACCTCATTTCAAAATATCAGTCCAAGTAAAACTTAAGTGAAGTGTCTCTTACTGATGTAATTCAGAATTATTACCAGTGGAAGGGCATTGTGAAATTTGTATATTGCTATTAAGTTTGTGAAAAGTTTACTGTGTGACTTTAAATGAGTATGTTCTCTAATAGATCAGCGACATAATAATGAAACAATGTTAACTGGGAGGAGGTTAAGTGAGGAGCAGAGTACCTGTACATCACTTCAATTCCAAGGCGTTTCTCACAGCATGTGTACGGTAGCTGGATTCTATTACTGCCCTGTAGAGTACTGCACCACAAAATGCATGACTGCAAACAGGCATACATTTCAAGTGTAATTACTCTGACTAATTTTCTGGCCTGAAAAAGAGCAGATCCTCTCTGCAGTTTCCAATACCCTAGCTACAGACAGACATTTTAATGTGTCAGCCTAGCCATAATAGCAATGAATTTCTGGTCTGATCTAGAGACTTTTCATCCTGTTCCACAAGTGTGACAAGTTAGTTTCTGAACCCCAGTGCACAGTACACGTTGCATTATGGTAACACCCTAAGGCTCCTTGCCACGTATTACACAATTCACTAGGTAATCACGCAATACATTTAGACCAGCCCCATGGGCAAAGTAAGATCTAGGGGGGTCACAAAATGAAACTAGGAGGGAAAGTTCAAAACAAACAAAAGGAAGTGTGAAATTAAAGTGAGGCATTTGTCACCAGATGTGCTGGAAGCTGACAGTTTAGTCCGATTCAAAAGAGGACTGGACCAATTCTTGGAGGAAAGGGGCAACCGGTAGGTAGAGAGTGCAGGGATTAGGGACACACTGAATCAACTTCTGGACCCAAGTGCTGGAGGCTGCAAGCCAGAGAGGGACAGTGCAAAAAGATAACCCTGGTCAGATCCATTCACTCATCTTTTCTGCATCCACTCTCTGCCCCTGTGTAGCACAGGCCTATTGGACAAATATAAGGGACAAACAGGGCAAAAGTTAACACCCTCCCTCTCCCATTAACAGAGATGGCTACTGGATATGTGCCAACTGAATAGAAAGATGTAAAGGACAAAGCAGGGAGGATGGCAGGTTAAGACGACTGCAGGAGTGGGGCACCAGGCACAGCACCTGTGAATCAGTTTGAAGTGTCAGCAGACGCTGCCCAGAGGCAGACAAGGTGCAGGGGCGCAGACCCGCTGTCCCTGGCACCCTCCCGCTCAGGCTTGGCTCAGGCCAGAAGGAGGCTGCGTGGGACGTCCTGGGACAAGCCAAGACCAGACGCAGCTGTGGTCTGACCCGGGACATGGCAGCTCTTCTTTTTCAGACGGCTGCACGAGCACAGCAACAAGGACACCGCGAAAACGCTCGCCCAGCTCCCTAGCCCGGGCGCCACGGGGGCGGGGTGGGCAAGCTGAGGGCACAGCCCTACGAGGGGGGAGGGGCGCGGCGCCAGGGAGACGCGGGGGCCGTGGAACCCGCCCACCTCACAGAGCGCCCTGAGGTCCCCCCGCAGGGACCGTTGCACAGGCCCCGCCCCCGCCGCCGGGGGGAGGGGCGGTGCGGGCTCGGGCCCTAGCTCACCGCCGCGCCGACCCGCCGTCACCATGGAGCTCCGCGAGGCAGGCAGGCAAGCAGGCAGGCAGAAGAGAGCCGCCCGCTCCCTGCTCTCGCGAGAGCGCCAGGCAGGTCCCGCCAGCCAATGGCAGCTCGTCCCGGAGGGAGGGGCTGAGGCGGATACTCTGCCTCCCATGGCAACCAGATACGTACAGAGGGCCGCAGTTCCAGGGACTGGACCCTCCCCTCCATTCGGCGGGCCCCACCCCTTGGTCCCGCGTCAGTGTGGGGTCACGTGATGTCACCTCAAGGCCTGACCTGTCCCTTGCAGCGCATAACTCCCCCCCCCCTTGTCGTGGGTGGGTCCTGGGTTGCTCTGATTTTAAAAAGTCCCAATTTTCGGTTAAAAAAAAGTAATGCCAAATCCACGTTTCCAGGATTAAAATATAACACCACTAATATATTATATCTATATAGGTAATATAATATATCTAACATATTAGATCTATATATAGTTATGGTAGTGTTTCATTTTAATGCTTAAGCTCGGGGACAGGGATAGGCAGTGTTTTTGTTCCAAGTGCCCAAATCACGACCACCTCCCCCAAGGTGCTGGGGCAGAGGGCGGTGGAGCTGCAAGGGGCCTGATCCTCGTTGCTGGCATGGGTGCCCACCACCCTGCAGGGCTCTGTAGCAGCAGCGCGTGCGCATGCACCTCTGGGCATATGGCAGGAGGGGCCGGGGTTGCGCTACCCCAGGCCCCTTCCTAGCCGGCATCCTGAGGCATGCTGCCACGTAGACCGACACAGCTATTTGCAGCCTCCTGCCTGCATGCCACAGCTGGCCTGGGCTATGGGCAGCAGGCAGGCTGCAAACAGCTGCACTTTGTAATGTATGCATTGTATGATGACCCTAATCCCTGGGACGTTCCATATAAAGTGAGTAAATCCCTCATTGGCTGTAGTGACTGTGCCTGGCACTTCCGGGAGTTGCTACAACCAGGCTCCAAAGGTGCCTATATGTCCAGGGAGGCTGCTCTGATGCACTGTAATTACAGCACGTTGGTGCAGATTCGATTAATTAAGTGTTTTTGAGTGTGGTAATTACTACATTCCAGCAGACTCCAGCATCTCATGTATCAGTGTCCCCCCGCTGAAAAATGGTGGTAGGGGCACTTTAACTAAAGCTTGTAAACTGCATAGCTAGCTAAAGTAATGTACTAAAAGTTGGTCAGGCCATGGCCCAGGTGGCCCACCCCATTCCGCGGCCTATGGTGTAGGGGGCATCACAGTGGTCCCCGGTCGCCTAACCTGTTACAGGGAGTTAGAGGAGTGCAGAGACTTCCCCAGTCCCATCACACAGAGAGGCAGAGAGAAGGGTTCAATCTCCTAAAGAATAACATGCACCTTCCATCACAGTTCGTTTTTCATATGGCTGGGGGAGAAGAGCAGGGAAGAGTTGTTCAGATACCCTCAAGGAGGCAGGGACCCCTAGATCCCAGCACAAGCGTGAGAGGAGAGAAGATAGAGCTAACAGGCCATTGCCTCTCAACCCCTATTTCCTGTCCCACCCTTCCTGTTTCCTATAATTCCCCTCCCCTGACCTGAGCCTCTCCGTTGCCCTAGCATCCATCCCCATTTATTCTTCTCTTCTCTTGCCTCCCTTTACCATAGTCTCCAAACCCTCTCTCCCATTTATTCCCAGTCTACATGGCCCTGTCCCCTCTTCCCTTCCAGCAAATAGTTCATAGATGTAACTTATTTTCAAGAGTCTTCTGAACATTTTGTTGGGCTTTGTTTTACATTTCCCCAGAATAAATGAAAATGTTGGACAAATGCTGTTTTTTATTTTTTTAACTTAATGTAATTGTGGGCCGTTTCTTCTGCCAAGGGTTGTAATCTATCTGACATGGGCTGGGCTGGGCTGGGCGTAGATCAGGTTCAATGGTTCCTTGTGCCTTTTTAGTTCGTGTGCAATCTGCTTAGCTGGAAACCCTTTGAGCTACACTGTCACTGCATGCACAGTGTAATACTTTCCCTAGTGAGGGCTAGGCATGCATCTATCTATGGAGCCAAATACTTTTCTTCATACTGTTTTCAATATTTTCTTCCCTGGATGCAGTGTAGATATTGTGAACTAGCTAGGGTAAATGTCAAGTGATTTAGACCATGTTGGGCCAAATCAGAGCTCAAGTCAATTCCCAGGTGTTCAAAGAACATATTGGTAGAATCTGTAATATTACAAAATGATGCCCTTTGTGGAGTGGCTGTATTTTGGGAAAACTTTATATCAAATTGTCCAGATTTGCTTCACTAATCCTAACTTGCACTCCCCCCTCTCCCTCCCAGCCTTCATAAGGCACACCAGCTGCCAAGTCTAAGGAAACATGGATTTTAGAGCACCTAGATTCAGCCTTTAAAGCAGTGCTTCTCAACCAGGGGTGTTACAGCACCATGGGTTGCCTTGAGATCCTTTCAAGTATGTTGCAAAATGCAATGCAAGACTGGCACTGTTAGGCGTGCGAACCCAGGGATTTCAAATAGTAATTAACAGTGTCATAAACATTCTGACTTGATGTGGTCTTTCTGAGTTCTGTGCAGCAGAAGAATTGCCCCATTTATTTTTCAGTCATCAAAATTGGAGAGAAAACTAAAAGCTGGCACTTTCTGAGGGTGCCTCGAGTCTAAAAAGGCTGAGAGTAAGAGTTCTCATTTTTAACTATAGTAGAGCTGGCTGTTTGCTACAAGAAACCTAATATTACTACACAAGTAAATTTTAAATGCAGTAAAACTAAACATTCTGATCCTGATGTCCTGTACTTTGAATACAGACAAACTTGACTCCACTGACTTGAACTGAAATACTCTTGATCTTGATTTACTTCCAATGTAACTGTGAAATATACAAAAACACAAAAATATAATTATATCATTCATTGATGTTGTCTCATTCTGGCTGAGTAGCAGGTTCTATGTATTTGAAAGCACAGAAATGTGTTTTTGGCAGATCCTAATTCACATATTGTTTTTATTTGGCAGCATAATTTTACTTTTACAGAAATGGTCACATTCTTAGGTTTGAATACTATTTATTTGGTACACGTGTTTTCAGTTTCAAAATATTTGTCCCTCATTACTGCAATTTTTGTGTAGCTAATGAAATTTAGAAGATTAAACTAGACATGTAAGAAAATAATGTTTAGAATATGTGGCTGCTTCTTATTAGGTTCTAAGTGATCTGCTGAAAGAATTATTCATTTTGTTAAATAATTTGTACTTTCACAGTTCATCTAAGACAAAGTGAGAGTCAGCTTGTTTACTCTCATCATTTTGATGCCTCTTCAAGTTTCTTAAAACACACTAAATGTACAAAAAGCAGATGATGCCTAATGGAAGGTGTCAGAAAGTTTACTTTTTAGAAGATATTCTTTTAATATTTTCTGTATTTCTCTTCCTTGGTCTTCATTATTGGTGATATTTGCATGGCATATGGTAGTACTGCATATGTGTTTTAAAATGAAGAATAAAGAGCAAATAGAAATTGAATCAGCATTCTGTAGATTTAAAAAGGCAACAAAAGTATCACTCAAGTATATGTGATAAGGCAGAAATCTTTACTAAATAAAATATGTTAACTTTGTAAAGTGTAAATCACTTTCTAAAAATCAATGCTTGTTTAAATAAGGACATGAAGTTTCTCATCTGTGAGGTCTTGTTTGCTTCCAATTCACACTTCCATCTGGTGATATTTTGGTCATCTATGTAACACGAGTCAATGATCTCAGTTTCATTCCCAGTGACTGCTCCCACTTTGTAATAAGATGTCATGCCAAAGAGCAAAAAGGCCAAAGAGTGAATGGAAGCTGACTGAACGATGCTTTAATACTGACACATGCTCCCTCTAGTTCAGGGAAGGACACACTAGGGGAGAAGCCTGGGGAAGCTTGTGCTGCCTTTTTGCGTTGCACTCTTATTCTGGGCTGTTGATCAAGCATTTGCTCAGAATGCTAAACAAATTATGTGTGTTTTAACTGCAAATGCCTTTTCTCATTTGCCAAAATTAAATAGATTGGGTTTTTGTCTTCAACAAATGTAACCATGACTGGTCCTATT